ACCTATCCCCGAGCTCCACATAATCCACCTTAGTACTATCCTCTTAACAGTGTTCGATCCTCTATCCAACCACTGGGTCACTCCTTATGGTGAGCACCAGCATCGCATAATACTCTTTCGCCTTCACAAAATTTTTGAGCACCCAACAACAACCCTAGGAAACAGGGCCATAGAGGGGAACAAAGGCAAAGAAATAGTCTCACGCCAATCGGAGAATCCTACACAAGCTTGTTCGAAAAGTTAAAATAATCTCGCCTGATTGAGCCGCTCCTCGACTATACTCCGGACCCATATGCAAAAGGTTTTGATCCTACTGTACGGTGCATGTAACACTCTAATGTTCAAGGGCATAACATTGAAGATTGTCGTGCTTTGAAAAGGGAGATAGAAAGAATGATCCAAGAAGCGATAATTATGGTCCAGGATAGTGACACCCAAAACAATGCATAGAATCCTTTACCTGCACATGATGATGCACACTTTGTGGGGAAGATGCGTGTTGACAGGGAGTATGAGAATCCTTTTAGAAACTTGCTGATTGAAGTTAATGATATTAAAATTGGTGAAGGTCCCAGTAATTTTGATGTGCAACCCAGGGGCTAAGATGTCGAGCTTGGTAATTGGAAAGACACTCCTTTCTTGGATAGCTAGGGAGGAGTTTTGGTGGTTTCTTTTGTTGTCATTTCTATTTGTCCGGGTTATTTTAGGGTTGTAATCCGGATATTGTCTTGTTGCTCAAACTCTTCTTCTTCTCATTTTGTCTAGTTCGTTTAGTTGTAGTAACTCGTCTAGTGTTATTTAGGATTGTTCCAGGGTTGTAACCCATATCTATTTTGCTTGTTTTGTTCAAACCCTTTTCACCATCTGTCTAATGCAATCTCCTATTTTCTGTTAATTCTATTCAGTTTTTGTTTAGGTCATTTTTCCTTTTATAGTTCCTTTCATACTAACTCTAGTGACATGATATGCACTCATAATTCTCAGCCTGGTATTGAAAGTTAGTCTAATCATGAAGTAATGGCATGATTTTGAATATGATAAAAAGAGGCATTTGAGGAAAAAAGTAAAGATTCACACATTCTGAGATAGCCTAAAGCTTGAATTGAGTGAAACTAAGGCAGTTAGTCTAGGAAATCAAGAAGTTGATAAGAGCATATAACAAGAAAATGTCTCGCAAGAAGTTTGAGGTAGATCAGTCAGTGTTGAAATGCCTTCTTCCACTTCAAGACAAGGTTGGGTCAAGTCTGCTTTCTAATTGGAACGGATCATTCATTAAGACAAAAGTATTGTCCGTCGGCACTTTCTGTTTGTGTTGATGCCATCAATAGATACCATGTATGATTTCTTTGCATATCTTCAATTGGTTGCACTTGGCATTTTTAAAATTTGGTATGACGAAGACATTTTATTCTACTGCCCAAACACTTTTATCTCTTGCTACCCCTTTTGAACCTTAATTTGTTTTGTTCCATACCCTCTTTTGAAATCAGAAGTAGAGTTAGGAACTAGAAAAGAAGAAAAAGAAAAGAGAAAAAGATGAAACAGAAAAAAAGAGAAAAAAAAGAATAGAAAAAAAAAAGAAAAAAGAAAAAAATAGAAAAAGAAAGAAAAGGGAAAAAAATCAACTTTGTGTTTGAACTACGTTTGACCTGATTCTTGTCACGTCAAGATACGTAGGCAGCCTTACGGTTCGGTCTCACCAAATAAAATATTTCATAATTCCCCGAAGTCGAGAGTGGGACAAATTCTCTTAGAAATCCCATCAAAAAGTTCCTCAGACTCTAGAAACTGGGGCAGAAGTTTTAATTTTTCCAAAAGATATGATTCCAAAAGTTGTAATTTTGAACCCTTTCATCTTAAATTATTTTGAGCCTTCATGCCACCCTTTCTTTCCAAACATGTCCAAAAGCCTACATTACGGTCCGAAGAAAGACCTTCCGACCAATCTTTGAGGATGCCAAATCAAGTGAAAATATGATCTTCCTACATCATGGATAATACATTGTTCTCATCGCAAAGAGAGAAAATGATAAATGAGAGAGTCTTATAGGTGAAAACCCTCATGGGTACCGTAAGGCGACGGTGAGTTGAGAAAAAGAGCAAAATGAGAGAGGTTTGATGGTGAAAACCCTTCAGGGCGCTACAAGTCGACTGAGGATTATTGATCAAATGGGACAATTAGAGTGTCGAAGCTCAGTTTCACAACTTAAAGGCACAACAAGAGTTGAACATTAGCCTTGCTTAACAGATTAGGCCACTTTAATCCAAAATGCTTGTCACGGTCATTAGAGTTGGTATCTACATCTGACAAGTTTCTACTCGGTAATTTTCTTGTTAGATGTCATCTCTTTCTTTTATCCCCTTAACTCTGTTCTTCTTACTTTGTTTAAGTTCTCTGGAGTCTGTTTCGTCAGAACAAGTAAAGAAATGACTTCAAAATCTACCACCAGCTTTCCAATTACACAAAGCGGAGTCTGACTAGCACATCAAAGTGGCATAAGTCAGGAAAGAACAGTATGCGCATTGAGTTGGTAACAATCAATATGCTTTGGGATTTATGTGAAATGCAAAGATTCGGTAAATGTCAATTCATGAGCACAATGCAACAGATGAAGGGTATTGGCTTTGAAAGGATCAGAGGTATTTTTGTGATAAGGGCAATAGAGAAAATGGCTAGTCAATAAACAAGCAAAGTCTTTCAAGTTAAAATCAAAGTTATCTTGGCAAGTGCAAAAGCAGCCACCTTCAAGGTCAAGGCCACAAACTAACCATCGTGTTTTATACTCACAAGTTTTCTTTGTCTGAAATAGGGATGAAGGCTATGTTCATATCAAAGCTTGAATTTTTTAGGTGTAATGCCCCAATTCTGCTTATGCAAAGGCTATTGAGAGGATCACACATCACCCCTAGGAGAAGCGCTTCCTAGTCCGGGCCTTTCAAGTTATATTTTGTTTTAGGAGGCGCACTTCCTAAATTGAGATTTTACCCCTGAGAGACACACTTCCTAGTTTTGGGTCATTTAAGTTCATTCCTAGGAGACACACTTCCTATTTTGAGTCATTGAAGTTTCATCCCTAGGAGATACATTTCCTAGTCTGGGTCTTTCAGGATATACTTTTAGGAGAAGCACTTCCTAGTTTTTGGTCATTTAAGTTCATTCATAGGAGACGCACTTCCTAGTTTGAGTTTCACCCCTAGGAGACACACTTCCTAGTCTGGGTCTTTCAGGTTATATTTTGTTTTAGGAGACGCACTTTCTAAATCGAGATTTTACCCCTAGGAGACACACTTCCTAGTTTTAGTCATCTAAGTTCATTCCTAGGAGATGCACTTCCTAGTTTGAGTCATTGAAGTTTCACCCCTAGGAGATGCAATTCCTAGTCTGGATCATTCAAGTTATATTTTTGTTTTAGGAGATGCACTTCCTAAATTGAGATTTTACCCCTAGGAGACGCATTTCCTAGTTTTGGGTCATTTAAGTTCATCCATAGGAGACGCACTTCCTAGTTTTTATTCATTCAAGTTTCACCCATAGGAGATGAACTTCCTAATCTTGGTCTTTCAAGTTATATTTTTGTTTTAGGAGAAGCCCTTCATAAATTGAGATTTCATCCCTAAGAGACGCACTTCCTACTTTTAGTTCATTCAAATTTCATCCCTAGGAGATGCACTTCCTAGTTTGAGTCGTTTGAGTTCATCCCTAGGAGATGAACATCCTTGTAGAGTCTTTAGTTTTACTCTCACCATTGCATTAATAACATATGTGATTTACAGTTTTGCTAACAACTTACAAATCTTCCTAGTGCAAACTGGGGAAGAAAATTTCGTTTGTTTTGTTGTTTTGATCGTAGGCGCCCACCTGCAGAATGAGGGAATCCATTTCAAGTTTCAAGTAAGTCACATGCACCCACCTGGAGAACAAGGGAAGTCATTTCAAGTCAGCAGCAGGCGCCCGCCTGGAGAATGAGAGAAGTCATTTCAGAATTCAATTCAAGTTAGAAGAAGCAGAAGCTCGCCTCAAGAATGCGAGCCAACAGTACGAGATGACTGCTCAAGACATGGATGAAGTTACGAGCACTGCATGGTCGGTCTCGATTCAAAGAAGTCGTGGAAGAATGAATCAGTACCTGCAGCTAGCAAGCATCAAGGTTCAAATCAAAGTCTACATGAAGAAACATTCAAGATTCAATATCAAGCTTCAGTAGACTTATAGATAGGAATCTTGTAACTCATAGCTGATAGGCTTGCTTAGTTCTTTTAGATTTTGATTTGATGTAATAATAGGACCGCGAACCGGAACCTCGACGGCAATTCAATCGGCTCCACATCGGTAAACTCCATCACTGCTCCTACTTCTGAACTACACGTGGTTTGATTCTTTTATAGCCAAGGATATGTAGGCAGCTCGGATACCAGGGCTCGGTCACATTCTCTTCCTTTCTCTTAGTTTTTGGTCTTTCTAAATAAGGGTCGGGTCAAAAAACCTATCTTGTCATTCTTTGTTTGAAAATACTCCGTATTTTCAGTCAAAGAGGGGCAGCTGTAGATATGTAATTTTTTATCCTCCCCAAGATTTTACATATTTTAGCATTTAAATTCTTAGTTTAGGTCTAATATAGTTATTTCAACTAATTTTGACTATTTTACATTATTTTTATCACAAAATTGAAAAATACAAAAATAGTTTCATTTTTATCTATTTAATTAAGGGATTCGGTATTTTTAGAAAAATATTATTTTTTACCCATTTTTATTTTTAGTATAATTCTTGAAAATATCAAAAATAGTTTCATGTCATAATATAGTTGTTTTAATTAATTATTATTAGTTTTACATTTTTATGGTATTATTTTAGAAAAGAAATTAATATATTTAGCCAAATTTGTAAGAATTATGAATTAAAAGCCAAATTTATGACCCAATTCACTAAGCCCAATCTTCTTGGCCCAATTAAGCCTTACACCCTAACTTTTCTTCTTCATATACACACTAGACCTAACCCTAGAGAGGATCCCTAAGACCTAACTACACCTTCTAACCGTCACAAAAAACAACACCCCTGAGATCCTCTTCTTCTTCAACCTAGAACACGAGAGACCTTCAGCCGCCCACCACAAAACCAGCGTCGCCGCCCTTCAATCTCCACAACCACAAAGCAACGGCCACCCAACCCCAAAAGAGAATAGCAGCCCGTTAGCAACAACCCGTCTTCTTCACTTCAACTCACCCACTCGCCGGGAAACAAACCAACTGTCACCACTCTGTTTCCATCTCTGCCAGACCCCAGCAGCAGAATCGGTGACCTCCCCATCGGCTCTCTTCTGCTTCAGATCCAAAGAACACCCAGCTTGCCGGAACCTCTGCTTCTTCTTCTCCTCTTTATAAAAAATCGATTCACCACCTGCCTGCCGCCGGGTTTTCTAGTCGGAAATCCGGTAACACTTCTCAGAAACAACCGCTAGACTCACCAAACACACATACGCTGACAGAAGCGAAAAACAGATTTCAGATTCATGGAGTTCATTTAAGTTCGATTCAGTTGTTGGTCGAGTCCAGGTTTGTCGGCAAGTTCTGGTTTGTTGGTCTTGGTTGAAATTTTCATTCCGGATTCAGAGTAGATTCAATCCCATTCCTCAAAATAAAACTATCATTAAAGGTCTAATTCTCTTCCTTCCTTCTTGCATTTTTATTCTCAAACTTTGCTGCTGATTGATTGATTTTGCAATTTATCTTGTGGCCGGTATTATAATTTGTATGCTAGTGTGTTCTTGGCAGAATAGTTGCTATGCCTTTAATCACTTATTCTTCAATTGAGAACATAAGAAATAGATTGGTTGAGTTGTTGGATTTAGTTAAAAGTTGAAATTAAAGAAGACACTGTCTTGAGACGGGAAAGTGAGTTAAGCTTAAGAATGCTTTTTGATTAATTTGTGTTGTTTGATTTAATTCCATTAATAAGCCGCGGGATCGAGATTTAAAGAAAGCATACTGAAATTTGAGTATTACATATTCACTACTTCATTTGATTTTGACCGCTACTAACATGTTTTAGGCCGACCACACTTGGCTAGGCAAGCTTTAGGTTTTGGTTAATTTCGAGGCGAGAGGTCGTTCCCTTAGTTAAATTTATCTAGGGAATGCCCCAAAGGATTTGTATATATTTTATTTAGGGGAATGCCCCGTAGTATTCTGTAATTGGAGGCCGTGGCAAACATCGTAGAAGAAGTGGCGTAGGATAATTTAGAACTTTAATTTTTCTTCTTTTAATTTTCTTTCATTTAGGTGGGGACGACCTCGAGCCTCTCTTGATTGTTTGTTTTCTTTTTGTGCGTTATTACCTCAATTCGAGTATTTTAAAAGCCAACTAGATTGAGTACACAACCGTAAATTTCACGGGACTTGGGGAGTGCTTAACGCCTTCTCCCCGAGTCAAATGAACCCCCTTACTCTAATCTCTGGTGCAGACCTAGTTTGGAGTCCAAAGTATTTTAAAAGGAAAATTATTTTAAAAACGGTGACCTGGCACACCGAAACCAATGTCAGGTGGCGACTCTGAGTTATTTCCTTTTGAACAAAATTTTGTCACTTTTTAAATTAAAACCCTTTTGAGCTTTACAAATCTTTTTATATTTTTGAGAGGGTTTAGTGAAGTTTGTAAAAAAAAGGGTGTGACATTAATGATGTACTGGAGTTTTGAATATAGAATATTTAAAGGTTTCTAGTTGATCATGACTAAAATAGAGTACATGGAATGCAAGTTCAGTGATGCATCATATGAGGCGGGCGTAAAAGTGACGACTGATACAAGATTCATCCAAAGAGAGGAAGTTTCAAGTAACTCAGATCAATAATCCAAGGAAATGGGGAGACAACCTCTCTACCTCACACAATGTAGATGTAAGGTCTGCATACACCACATCCTCCCCAGAATCCATTTGTTGGATTACAGTGGGTATGTTGTTGTTGCTATTATTTTAGATCACAAGTTTTAAAAGTCTTTTTTTTCTTTCTTTAATTCTGTGCATGTTCACATACATTCATTCTTTTTAAAATGGAGGGAGTAATAAGTTTTACATAACCGACTAATAACAGCAAGCTTAAAAGTGACTATTTTTAAATTTTTCGCGAACATGGATGGTTTGATTTTGTGGGCTGCTAGTATTTGTTTACTAATGGCCAGTACTGTTGTGCTGAGGAGTTCTTGAGCTCTAAGAGGAGGGGCTTTGGATCCAATAAAGGTTTGAGTTACCCATTAACGAGAGGTGTTTGGACCTTTCTTTTCCTTCATTTGGACAACTGATTGATGAAAATGTCTCTTTTTGGGTTGTTGCTTAGAGTGGAAATGACACTAGGTAACCGTTTTTAATTCCGCTCTTTAAAATATATTCATAGTTTACGATGTATTTAAAGATTATCCAGTTCGCTTAAACTTAAGGACATGACGTCTTAAAGTTTAAACCTCAAAATTCAAATTTTAGGATACTTTGTCCTAAAGTTCGAAAATTTTGTCCAGAACACTTAATCCTAAATTTCAAATTAGCACCTCAAAAATTCAGGACTCGAAGTCCTGATTTCAAATTTAGGATACTTAATCCTGAAGTTTGAGTAAATTGGCTAATCTTTAAATACATTGTCAGTTATAGATATATTTTAAAGAGTATGTGTGTGTGTGTGTGTGTTATATACAAAATAATATACAAATTTTATCGCTTTTGTTATTACTGAATATAAGACAATCTCCAAGGCTACTCCATTTCTTGCACCAAATCCAAATTTGGTGCAAGAAATGGTGTTTTTTTGCTCCAATGCAACACTACTTCTTGCACTATTATAGAGCATGAATAGTGTTGCACCAAATTTGGTGCAACACTATTCGTCACTCTAAATTTGGTTTAATATTATTTTATTCAATCTTTTTATTTTGTGAATTTTTAATTTATCATATATTGTGTATATAATTAATTTTTATATTAAGATCTTTATAATTTTAATTTTATATCATATGTTTTGATATATTAATTTTTGTATATATTATATTTATATAAAATTATAAGTTAATTTAATTATCTTTTATCAATGATTTCACTTTTAGTTAATTTATCCTTTAAAATAATTTTGTAATAAATGATTAAATAAGTGGTGAATGTGAATTATATATAATGAATATGGAAAAAAAGAAAAAAAGATAGTATTAATTTGAAGGAAATAAAAAATGAAAAATAAATAGAAGATAATAATATAATATAGAAGAGAGAGAAGATTTGGTGTAAAAAATGGTGTAATGGTTGGAGTAAATTTGGTGTTACACCATTTTGGTGTGAAATTTGGTGCAAGAAATGATGCTAGCCTTGGAGATGGCCTAAATAGTTTAGGCCCCAAGCTAAAAGTGATCTTTGCCCTCAGATTTTGTCCCTATTTTAAATACCGTAGCTCTTGGGATTTCTTTTTGGATAACGTTAGATTCAGATATAATATTTGCTCAATCAGTTTTAAATTTTCTCACAAAATATTGAATTGTTGTCTGATTTTACAATAATTTACAAAATTTTAGACTGTAGTCTGATAGTTTTACTATAGGACATTTAGTTTGCTCAAAATGATCTTTAGATCATGGTTTAAGAGGTTCATCGATTGCAACATAAATAAAAAGATCATTTACTCAATGAGAAACCTATTTACCACCTTTATTTAGGTTCCTTATTAATTACTTTGTATATCTGTATTTACAAGTTATATACAAAATAAAAAAAGATAAAAAAATCAAGATCCCTTAATTTTAGCATGTCAGGTAGACGATACCTACCCCGATTTCTAATACCCTTCTCCCATTATTTAAGATTCTGGACTTTGACTAGAATTTTAGCTATACTTTACTAGAAACCTAATTACCACCTGTATTTAGGTTCTTTATTAATTACTTTGTATATCTGTATGGAGCGGAAGGGGTATGTTGTTGATTTGTCGATGTAAATTTGTTTCCAGCTGTCGTTTACAAGATTGTATAGCAGTTTCACTTAGATTTTCTACATGAGGTCCTAGATTTTCATCTCTACTATTTTCTTTGTGGTTGTTTTGATTGTCTTTCGAATATTTATTTATTAGATTTTCATGTCTAGTTTATTTTGTCAGTTATTGAGTTAATGTCTTGTGGCTATTTGTAGGAGGACAAGGTTTTCAGAGAATTAGTAATCTCAAAATCGGCTAGAGGTCTGCTCCATATGGATTTTGATGAATGTGCAACATCAAAGGTACAATTGATAACCCAAACATATATATGTCATGAGATTCACAATTACATGTTACAAAGGAATAATTTCCATGTGCATCAGAATACGAAACCAATATTAAAGGTTTAAAGTGCTTAAATGATAGGGAAAAAGTTCTTAATATATATTTTAACTACGTGATTGGGTATTGAGATGTCATGTAAATGTGTTAGCCTATGCTAACATTGTTTTCATTTAAAGATGAAGCTAATATTCTTTTTGGTACTGTGAGATATGTTATGGAATTTTAATATACTATTCTATTTTACATTTGATTGATCACCGAATCATAGAGTATTTATGATATGATGGTCTAAAGTAACCAGAGGTTGAGCTTCTTAACAGAGGAGGGAGTTTTATGTAAATGATGTTTCCATGATGGGGTTTGAGGTTTTGGTCTTCTTTGTATTAAAAAAATAATGTATTTGTTGAAGCTAAAGATAGGATTCGAAAGCATTATTTTACATTTTTGATTGGTAACCTTTTCAGATTTGTTAATTTCATTTTGGTTCTTGGCTTCCTATTAAACTTTGTCTTGTTAGTAATTCAACTGGGAGAATGCAGTCAGAATGTTTAGTGTGAGCACGCAGAACTGTTGTACTTTTGGATTTTTGAGATGCTTAAATTTTGAACAAGCTTTTAATATCGAACTATTGTAAAATTAATAAGGTTGAGTAGGTGGAAACAAAGAGTAAATTTAGATTGAATTATTGATTGATTCTTTTATCCATTACATATTGCATGATACATAGTTCCCGAGTCGTATCTTTTTTTACATTATCATCGAAGATATGAAAGTTTATGTATATGTAAAACAACAACAACTCAGTGTAATTTCAGAAGTGGGGATAATTTACTCTTCAATCTGATTAATCATCAATTCTAGAATCTGGATTATAAAGTCATACTCATCAAACCTATTATTTTCTTGGACCTTTCTTTATCTGTAATAGCATTATTCTATCAACTCTTAATTTGGATATGTCTTTCTATAATGGACATGATCGAGTGAATGTATACTTGTGTTCCGGTAATGGATACGACTGATTGAAATTTGAAAGTATCTTCTTTTTTCCTTCTATTTCCTGATATGTATTTTTCATAAAAGTACAAAAGGAAGTGTTGATGATAATGCAAAATACAAAAGAAAGTGTTGATGGCAATGCACAAAAAAGAAAAACAACTAATGGAAAAACTGATAAATGTTGAGAAGTATTATAGTGTACCCCTACTAGTTTGGTTAGGCTTAAGTCTTATACTTATAATAGACATCTGCTCTTAGAATAGTACTTAGAATAGTGCTTGGTATTTAAATTTTCAAGGGGAAAACTCTGTCACATTGCTATGAGTTTGCACTTGCATATTAATGATTTCTATCTAATTACTAATTTTATTTTAAATGTGCAGGAAAGTCTTTGTGAGCAGTTCGAAATTGTGGCCAAACGACAATTTGATCTAATGGAATTTAATCACCAAGACTTTGGACAATTATGATTTTTGTTATTTCTGATACTATAATAATACATTTGCTTTTTATAAAGTTCATTGCTAGCATGCCCCTTGAGACAATTTTCTTTATTCGTTGATGTATTACACGAGGTTTACTCCTTGTTTGAAGTACATTGCAAGTTTATGCATTTCAATTATTCTTTTATTATCTTCTAGTTCATTGAGTGCTTGAGATCTTTATACTTACATTTGAATGTAGGATATATACAAAAATATAACTCACTGACCACATAAGCATGGCAATAGGGATTAGCAAATTTGTGGCCTATATAGTAGTAAAAGCTATACTTTACAAGTGTTGCTTTAGGAGCTACGCTTGAGAAGTGTAGCCTAAAGAGTAACATTGGTCACGCTTTTAATGGGTTATCGTAGTACCTAAAAGTGTTGCCATAGAGGGTATTACAAGCGTGGCTCTTGTTACATTTTAGGCCACGTTTTTCAAGTGCGGCTTCTAAGGCAACATTTGTAAAGTGTTGCCTTAGGGTAAAGGTTACGCTTGTTTAGGTCACCTCTCTAAAAGCGTTGCCTTAGGTCGAAATATGTGGCCTTTTAATAAAGGCCACAGTTTCTGATAGTTAAGGCCACACTTTTTATGTGTGGTTATTTAACCCAAAAAATAGTTTTCAAGTTCAAAGCAATAATTTTATATGACGGGCCACAAGTAACCGATTCAATCTAAAAGATATAAAATTTCGTTAATACAACGTGATAGAGAAGTGGAAAATAAATTCAATAAAATAAAGCAGAGAAGAACGAATTCTTATTGAATGATCCTTGATAGGATAATGAGCCGAACAGAGCTTGAAGGGCCGAACTATGACTAACTTGGGAGCAGGATGCTATGAATTACAATGTATAGAATTGTAGAGAAGAAAATTAGATTCTCGTGATGGTGGTAAAAGTATGTCTATTTATAGGGCTAAATCTAAGTAACTAGTCTCCTTGAATTATGGGTCCATTATGAGCATTTACTCAATCCATCCATTACTTTTGGAAGACTTGTAACAGCTGTGTAAATGCTGGAATTCCATAACTGATGAGTTAATTCCGTAATTGATGAGTTAATTCCGTAATTGATGAGTTAATTCCATAACTGATGAGTTAATTCCATAACTGATGAGTCAATCTCGTGTCTGTTGAGTTAATCCCGTGCCTGTTGAGTCAATCCCGTGCCTGTTGATTGCCTTGTTCTGCCCGTTACAATCATTTATTGTATTTATTAATAATTGATTTGTAACTGATGGTGTAATGATGGTAAATCCCATATAATCCGGGATTAATTGATTCCTTCCTCATTTGTAATTATGAGATATTCTCCCGCACCTGATCCGGGCTATTTCATGATGATCGATTCTGAAGCTAACAGGCATGGTACGAATATATTTGGTCCCGGAGGTATTTCACATATCATCTTTACATGTCATTCTTCATTTTTCTTCAACTTTACTAACACGTGTCGCTATTTAATAGATCCACATGGCGAATCTAATTTTTACTAATACAATGGTTGAAGGCTTAAAATGTTGTAGTGTGTTTTACACTAAAATTTAAGGGGACATTAAGAACTTTAGAACTAACCACATGGTTTTACCTACTCGAAGAAAAAAGGGACCTCGAGGCACATGTGCATGTGTTACTTAGACAGAGGCCTGAAAAATGAGTGAGCCAAAAAGAGTGTGGCCAAAACCTATGGTCTAATTAACCGCTCAATTAATATTGCTTGTCAAACTTTCCCGTCCAATTTGTGTCGGCTTATCCTAGGCATGCACTTATTGTTTTCGCATTTATCCTTCCAAAGTTCAATAAATCTGTTTTAATTTGTCTACTTCTTCTTGTCTATTTTAATTAAATTTTTTTATATTTTTATATATATTAAAAAATTCATCTTTTAGTATTAATTAATAATAAAATTGATCATATTGACCTTAATTTATTCATATGAAGTATAACAAATACTTACAGCCTCTTTACTCCAAAGATAATTTTTTTTTAAAAAGACAATTCTTTCTTAATATCTGAAAAATAAAATATTGTGAACTACACAAAAAAAATCACAGAAAATTAAATAAAGTGGATAGGAAGAGGTATTATTACTAGAAATAATGATAATCGTAGGTAGTAGGGGTCGGTGGCATCTTTTTGCTTTTCCCAATTTATTTATTTATTTATTTATTTTTGTGATTTTTAGTTCAATTGAACCATTTTTTCTCTACTATTATTTCACCATTTTTTTTTTTGGGCTTAAAACCATTGTCTTTACTCGTTGCCTCGGGCCACAAGTAGGTTCCCCTCCGGCTATATAAACAATTAGATAAAATATGCATCAATTAATATGGTAAATTATACAATGTCATTTTTCCTATCAAAGTTGAACAAACCACAACTAAAGCTTTTCACATGGCATACAATTAAATGGATTCTCTACTAATCTAAGATGATCTTTCTTAGACTTAGAATTTACAAGATACAAATCATAAAAATACCAAAAAGAATGAAAGGTTGTTAGGCTGTCATAGTATTTTTTTTGGATTTTTCAGGACAAGATCTTTGGAAAATTATCACTAATTAGTGCTATTTTTCTTGTAAGAGTTATAGATGCTGCTTTTTGTAGTAAGGGTTAAGTGTTTGCTTCTACTCTTGGCTTTGTTACCATTGACTTTAAGGAATAATGAGGTGACCTAAATTTTAGGTAATGGTAAACTTACATAATTAATACTTGAAAGAAGCCTCTCCAAATATCTATTAGCAAATCAGTCTCAAGTTTGCCTATATATATATATTGAGTGATGAGTGCATAAGTTCATATCAAATATCATTTTCAATATCAAATATCAAGTTTTTCCACAAAATTTAGCTGCCCAAATTCCTTACCAATGGAATCATCTAAAATTCAACAATTTCTAGAAGGCAAAATTATTTTCATTACGGGTGCCACGGGTTTCCTTGCAAAAAGTATTTCCTCTTTAGCTATTTTATTATCTAATTGTTTTACACCACCACTGTAATTTAATTCGTTATAGTATATTATTTACTATTTATTTTAGGTTACCAATTACCTTTTAAATGCAGTTTTGGTGGAGAAGATACTTCGGGTTCAACCAAACGTGAAAAAGTTATACCTTCTAGTAAGAGCTTCGGACACCAAATCAGCCAAGAAACGTTTTTATGAAGAGGTAAAACATAGTACGTGCTTTTTTAATAATAAAAACAGTTACTTGTTTCGTCCATTTCATTTTAACAAGACTATAAGGAAAAATGTTGTACTACAACCTCTATTTGTCCTTTATTAAGTGTCAAAAGAGTGTCTACTTTTTTTAAAATGGAGGTTTTATTTTCCCTCTGCATTCATGCAATACTTTTTTTCGTTATTTTGGTTTTTATTATTAAAGGGACCTTGTGCATGAAATTTATTCAAAATATATCCTTTTTAATTTCTTCAAAATTAAATTAAACTCTAATTTTAATTTTCTAGTATCAGTAACAAAGCCAATCAAGATAACCATGTTAGAGTTACCTAACCTAAATAACTGTAAACTTTGGGTGGTATCTGTAAATATTGCTCGTTTTGCAACTTGTATTTAATGAATGTTAGGCATTTTCTTTTTTATTGTTAGCAAAAATGGGTTAGGCTATTTGTTATTTATTGTAGAGCAACACAGTAATATTTTTGCAAGTTTTTACACAGATTATGCAGACTGAATTGTTTAAGGTTCTAAGAGAAAAGATAGGTGCAAAAAACCTAAACTCTCTCGTAGAAGAGAAGGTATTTCCAGTTGCCGGTGATATTTCATTTGAGGATTTTGGAATTGAAAATTCGGAGATAAAAGATGAAATGTTCAAAGAAATCGAAATAATTATAAACTCAGCTGCAACTACTAGATTTGATGAGAGGTATGATTGTAAAAATATTAATAAAGTATTTTGATGCAAGACATTTGATTTGATTCCCTATATAATATCGATAGCAATAGCTATTTTTTCAGTTTGTTAGTCCTTGATTATAAGTTATTGTTGACCATTACTAGTTTCCTTTTTTCTTGTAGATATGATATTGCCATGAATATCAATGTCCTAGGTGCCGTCAACGTCCTCAAGTTTGCTAAAAGATGTGAAAAAGTGAAGATTATTGTTCACGTATCCACTGGTCAGTTATTAGAAAAACAAACATGTGATTCTTTTTTCATGTACTATATATTATAGTATTATTGTTATTGCTAAGGTTCTTAAAAATCTTGTCTTATTGATTAGTTAGTTCGATGTCTTTGTCACAGCTTATGTTTGTGGGGAAGGGGAAGGAGTTATACCAGAGAAATCATTCATTTTGGGTGAGACACTCAACAAAAACTCCTACTTAGACATTGATGTGGAGAGGAAGGTGATAGAAGACAAACTTAAGGAACTTGAAGCTCAAAAATTGACATCAAAGGAAGTGACGATAGCCATGAAAGACCTTGGCATTCAAAGGTTAGAAAAGATCTAATTCATTTAGTGTCATTGAGATAATATATCTTTGTTATTGAACCGACGAGAGTGCCTATTGCAACTAACCTTTCCACCTATTCAATGTAGGGGTAAGTTCTGGGTACCTTTTCCAGACTCCACTTGTAGGATCACACTGAATTTTCTGTTATTGTTGTTGTTGTTGTTGAACCGATAATGTCAGTCATTATTTTCCCGATTTAAGTAATCTAATTGCGTAAGTATTTTCTATACCGTCAGTTAGGGGTATACAAAAGAAACCGAGAAACCGCATCAACCCAATAATCTGAGTCAAACCGAGAAAAAAAAACCCGACTATGGTTTGGTGTTGGAATAAAAACCCGACCATAATTGGTTTGGTTTGTTTTTAAATAAAGAAAGTCAAACCAAAACCAAACTAACCCGACATTACATATATATAGAAATTTTAGATATATTTAATATATACTTGTTGTGATGTAATTTATAAATATTTATTAAAAAATTTCATAATTTTATCTTTTAAGGTATTATTTCAAGGTTGGACTTAGAACTTTTGAATGTTCCAATAAGTTTTATAGCCATTAACATTAGTAAATTAAATAATGCTAACAAAAGCCCAAACCAAAATCACATCAATATTAATGCTAACAAAAGACATACAATTCAATACTACGAATGGAATGCATT